TGATACCTAATTAAACTGAAATTTGACCTTATCTTTTAGTGCAACAAATAGACAGAGGTGTTTCAACAGTAATGCCCCTCATGCATCATTTTTCTAACTGTGTTCTGCTTTTACTGATCCCATCAAATTGGTGATACTGAAGTACATTTCATCCCTACTAATTGTAATGAGATTGTTCAAATGCATTAACCAGAATGTTTGTGCACATTATATTTGAACCAAAAAAGATAGAATTGCCTTACATTTTAGTGGAATTTTAGAATTTCTTATGCCTTCTGTGTTATGGGATTCATTATAGGATTATAAAGGGTCTTTTCCCCCTCTCCTTAGAAGCAAGACCTTCCCATCTAAGTGAAAAGCTCAAAGAGCTCAAGTGGAGAAAGATACGCTATTTTAAAAGGGAATCTGTATGAAAGAATTTTCCTACCATGATGAGCTAGAATGAGAAACAAAACCCTTGCAGTGGTCCCATCCCACTGTAGTACCTAATCATTTTACAAAAGCATCTTTCCCTTTTTGTCCCCTTGCCTGACAAGTCTTGTGTATTTTATTTGTATGCAAGTGAATGGCAGTTTATTGTGTCCCAGAGGACAGAGTATTAATGATCATTTGCTTCCTGCTGTGGAGCCTGTCATAATTTTGTAGTCAGAAGAGTGACAGAAGTAAGGACCAATCAGTATGCTAATACTGCCTGAGAATGGGTAGCCAGTCCATTTTAACCAAGGGTTGGTTTTTTTTTTCCCAAATCCTTAGATAATTTTCATTAAAAAAATGCAATTTTTGATAGCATTGCAAATTGCTAGAGAGAACCCGTTGAAGAAGGCATACATTTCTTTTGTTTGGCAGTCAGACTTCCGTCTCAGCAGGTGTCTTCTCGGGAAAAAAAGAAAGACTTCTAATCTGAAAGCCCATTTTGGTCAGCAAGAATCAATCACTAAAACATTCAGCAATTTGTTATATCAATATCTTAACATGGAGAATTCTAGGCAGCATATGAAAATTAAATTCTCGTGTCTGACAAGTAAAGAGAAGGCAGAATCTTTAAAAATGATAGTTGAAAGCCCAGGGTAGAAAAATCCTGCAGATTTATACAGTGTGATGTCATTCATTTTTCTCTTTACTGTGCTATTTGTTTCTTCAGTTTTCCTGATGTTGATTTTTTGTTTTTTTGAAAAATGGAAAAGCTCTTCCCCCAAAGCAATAGCTTTTGGTGCCGATATATACATATTCAAACATTTTATTAGCCATTTTATAACATACAGCCTACAGTGAGTGTAGTCTTGACTAGGAAAAAGAAAAGAGTTTCTTAAAATGATTTCTGAGTGTTTTTGCACAGCACATGAACACATGATTACAGAGGGGATTAGTGGATGAAGGTATCGACAGTTGGCGGCCTCAAGGCTACAGATAAAAAGAGGTCTACTTTCTTTCCATAAAATCATGTTTATTCTTACCCACATGCAAACAATGCCAGCTATGTAAGCTATAAACAGAATTATTTTGAGAACACTATTGTCACTTAAATGCGTTCATCATAGAGAGCAAAACAATAATACAAACCAGTAACAACAATTTCACAGATGTATATATCTGCATGAAATACAAGGTAATATCATTTAACATCACAGATATTTCTGAGGAGTTCTGATTCACCCCTGGGGCTGGAGAAAGAGTTCTTTTATATATTTATTAAGATTTGAGCTTAGTCATTTCAAAATGTAAGCCTGTTAGACTATAATAATGATCAATGTCATTGCCAGGAAAATATTTAATATATTTTAATAGAAATTAAGTAGACATTATATCTACTGATGTTTTGCTTTTTGGAAAACAGGGAAACAAACCTTGTTTGCTGCCTGCTGGTTTGTTTATATATGCAAATCTTTATACACACAGAACAACCTAGCTGCCTTCCACAATCCCATAAACGTTTTGCTGTTTTATGAGATGTTTGTAATAAATGTGATTGATGATTTTTTTTACAATTGCCTATTAGAAATACCCTATTTTGTGATTAAATACTTAGGGATAACCCGATTCCAAATCACAAGATTATAAGCTAAGAATTGACATGGATGGCAAAATATGTATTTAATCTATTATTTAAATGTACTTGTATATTTATTTTAGAGAGTATTTTTTTCTAGCTGACAGAGATTTTTGCATTCCAATCAGTTGCAAACCTGTCTAAGGATACTGCTAGTGTGGCTTGGGGCAGGGAAATAGCTTTAAGCTGCACACACATATAGTCACAAGGGTGAACAGCTATAATTATATTGGAGTGCATCCAAGAAATCAGCTATTCTGTTTACACTTACTGCCTCTTCAAATTTATGTGCACCTCAAGCAAACCTACTGTAAGTTGATTTTAATACTAAAAATGGTTGACCTTAATAGTACAGTTTATTGACTATTTTTTGTTGCTGTCATCTTCCAAAAATCTGAAATTAAGGTAAACATCGACAATAATTTAGTTCAATTTCAAACTGTTGCTTTCCTCTTTAAGATTTAAAAAGTCTATTGGCTTAACGTCGTCCAAGACAATTCATGAAAATATAAAAACAGTCTCACTCTAAGGCCCTTTAAAACTAGGATGATCTATGGCAGACTGCGATTCGAACAGACTCCTTTGAATTAGCCTGAAAACAGAGTTTGGTTTATGTCCAAGCATCCATGCCAGGCTGGACTTAGAATGAGTGAAGGTGAATTCTGAATTACTCAAGTTTTGGGTGACATGAAAAGGAGTGTCATGTTTGTCCAATTATTTGCGAAAGATTAACTTTTATCATTTAGGCCTGTGAGGTCTTCCAAATTTTTCTCTTTTTTCAATTTACCTTTAAACAGGTACATGTTGATCAGGGCCATGGATAAAATCCAATAGCAACCTTTGGGCTTCCTCCAGGTAATACTTTGGAATTTCATCCACTTGGTGTAATAAGGTGGATGGAGAAACACTTCCCTTTTTAGGTGTGTGTTCCAACCCAGAAACCAAATTGGGAGCCTGAGGGAAGGACGGCTTTGGCAAGAAATAGGCCAGATGATTAGTCTATGCAGAAAGACTTCTGTGGCTGATTCTGATCAACAGGATTTAGAATCTACAGTCGTGGGTAGTAATATTTCTTTTCCAGCTTTATTCAGATATAACTGACACATAGCATTGTGTTTAAGGAGGACACCATGATGATTTGATACACGTATATACTGTGAAGTGTACATCACAATAAGGTTACTTAACGTACCGTCTCCCTCATGTAATTACCATTTTGTTTTGTTACAGTGAGAACATTAAAGCTGTACTCTCATTGCAACCTTCAAGTATACAATACAGTAATAAGTTTTATTCCCCTTTGGATTCCGCTGTTTTGCATAAATCTTTTTTTAAGTTACTAACCAGGAAGGTCAGCAGCAACAACAGATATGAGAGTTTTCATGTTAAATACGTTTCCATTTCCTTTTAAGTGACAGAAGATTATGCCCTTTGTTTCTATGTTTACTAAGAGGATATTCCTACACACTATCGTGGAAGAAGAGCTATCAGTGAGTTAATATGTTCTTTGCACACCATAATCATTAATTCAAGATAATATCATGCTAAAGGGCATTGCTTCTGCTTGGTTTTGAAGCCACTCCTGCCATTAACCGTCTCAGTGACTAAGGCCAGTTACTTAACCTCTCACAGCACCAGCTTCTTCATTTATAATTCAGTAAAATAGTAGAATCTGCATTATAGGGTTGCTTTGAGGATTAAAGTTGCAATGCATGTCTAGCATAGTAAAGGTTAGAGACATCTTCCTTCCCAGAGATGGTCCAGGGTATTGAAGATAGCGACATCTTCTCCCTGTCTCTGGAGAATATTTGAGGATATTCCTGTGTTAAGAGAAGATTTTTTTTTTTCTCCAGAGAGGAAGTTAGGCAAATCACTAGCAGCCTTACAGGTCAGTTTCCTGATTTAAGGTTTCTCTTCTATAACGCACCACATTGCACATGCAAGTACCATCTGGCCCCTAATATATTGTCCTATGGAGACTGGGGTTTGGGGAATAGACACAAAATGTTGCTGTGGCTGCTCCATTTTTTTTAAAACATTTTTTTTTATTGAGTTATAGTCATTTTACAATGTTGTGTCAAATTCCAGTGTAGAGCACAATTTTTCAGTTATACATGAACATACATATGTTCATTGTCACTTTTTTTTTTTGCTGTGAGCTACCACAAGATCTTGTACATATTTCCCTGTACTATACAGTATAATCTTGTTTATCTATTCTACATATGCCTATCAGTATCTACAAATTTTGAAATCCCAGTCTATCCCTTCCCACCCCCTGCCCCCTTGGCAACCACAAGTTTGTATTCTATGTCTATCAGTCTGTTTCTGTTTTGTATTTATGCTCTTTTTTTTTAATTCCACATATGAGTGGTCTTATATGGTATTTTTCTTTCTCTTTCTGGCTTACTTCACTTAGAATGACATTCTCCAGGAACATCCACGTTGCTGCAAATGGTGTTATGTTGTCAGTTTTTATGGCTGAATAGTATTCCATTGTATAAATATACCACATCTTCTTTATCCTGTGGCTGCTGCTTTTGCTTCTAATAATAAACTGATTTTGTCTCTGATGCATAGGCTTCATGTGTGTGTGTATACATACACACAATGTAAGTGTACGTATACTGTACTTAATGTACAATGTGTAAATATATACTCTATATAATATATAATATATATGTGAAACATATTTATTAGCTTACATGTAGAGTGCATTTTAAGACCCTACACAGTTTCTGACCCTAGCAGTCCTTGTGGCACTTACTGTATTATATATTTTCTAAATCCATCCCCTTCCCTCCTCAGAACTCAGCTAATCTGCATTTTCTAGTTTCTTGCGTATAAATGTGGCCATGTAATGAAGTATTATCAATGGCGATGAGCAGAAATGCTGAGAAAGTTAAGAGCAGATAGGTCTTATCTGTGCACTCTCTCGTCTCCTTTCCTGTAGACACGGAAAGCTATGCTGAAGATGGTAGCCTGTCAAGATGGAAGGATCTTGAGGACCACACTCACCCTGACAACAATATTGGACAGTGATATGGTCAAGCCGTAAGTGTTAAGACACTAAAATCTTGAGATTGCTTGTTGTAGAAGTTAACCTCCTCTGACTTTAAAGTTCTGATTTAAAAAAATCTCATTGGTCTCCTTTGCAGAACACTAGTAAACAAATTCATTATTCTGTCAGTTGGTAAGCAAGGAGAGACATGAGATATGTTGCTTTTATGTACCAAGTGTACTTTAGGGTAACTAAATTAATGAGGAAGAATTTCTCTGTTAAAATGGAACTTATTAATGATAGATTTAGAATATCTAATTATATTAATGAATTTTAGTTAGTTTTGTAAGGATATTGTACTATTTTAAAATATAGCCCTTATGCTTAGGAATAAATATTGAAGTATTCATGGATGGAAAAAGACTAGCTTATTTTCATGAGCTTATTTTTCTAAAAAAATACAATGAATACTGAAAAAGAGTTCTTCTAATTGGGCATTAAAGCACTCTACTAAACAAATAATCTTCCTGAAGGTATATAAAAAATAAAACTGAAGAATTACTTAAAATGAAATTTTGGAAACTATAACAAAATAAAAATGAAAAAAATTTTAAATTAAAGTAAATGCATTAAACGCCTAAATGAAGAATGTAGGGAAAGAAAAACAAATCCAAATGAAGTAGAAGGCAGTGATTAATAAAGGTAAAAGTGGAATAATTAAGTTAGAAAAGAGATAAAATGCAGAAATAATAAGTTCAAAAGTTTTCTGAAATAACTGTAAAGATAAGTAAATCACTAAACAAACATACAAACAAGTAGAAAAGTACACTTATATTACATTAGATGTATGTATATAGTACATAACATATAAACATATATATATACACAAACATATATATGATTTGTTTCAGGAATGGAAGGTGTTTCAGTATTAAGAAATGTATCATATAATTCATATTACTTGAGTTAAAAAGACAAATCATAAATTATCAAAAAATTTATTACCTAATTTACTATTTTATTACCTAAGAAGAAAAAAAAACTTGGTTAGTAAAATTTCCTATGAAAAGTTTAGAAGGGCAATAGAAGGTTCCCAATTAAAAAAAATTAAAATTACCAAGATTGTGTGGTATCAAATGTGACAAAAAGCTCCCCAATTCATTTAATAAAGCAAAGATCCCTAAATGATTTAATAAAGCCATAATTACCTCTATATCAATACTTGAGTGGCTAGTAAAAGACAAAACAAAACAAATAAGCAAACAAAAAACACTCTAGACCAATCTTATTAATCTAGGCACAAAATTCTAAGTAAACTTCTGGGAAACAAGACTGGGCATGATAAAATAAATGTATACTACACCATTAATATTTATGTCAAAGCATGCAAAGATCTTTAAATATCAGGAAATCTTTCAATCTAGTTTACAATATTATTCAATCAGTGAAGGAAAATCATACGATTATTATTGATACTTGCTAAAAAGTAAGCCATTCCAAATAAATTGCTGGTAAAATAATACAAGAATAAAAGGCAACTACTTAAATATCATAGAGATTGCCAAAATCAGCAAGCATTATTGTAAATGGTGGAATGTTAAAGCTACTTCTATTAAAAACAGAAACAGGGCACAAATAGTTTTATTCCTTATTATTGAACATTGTTTAAGAGGTTTTAGTAAATAAAATGAAATAGGAAAATAAAATAATCATTGTAAATACTGTCTCTATAAACAGATACCAGTATACATAGAACCTTTATTTATGATAAAATGGATATTTCAATTTGGTGGAATACAAAGGATTAATTTACCAAATGGTAATGATGCAGCACACTATCCATCTGGGATGAAAAACAAATCTTAAGATAGACTAAAATTTAAATACATAAATAAAATAAATATTTTAGAAAAAATTTAGAAGCTATCAGGGAAAAGCATGGAATCATTCCCTACTTCTCTGTAGCAAGAAAATCTAAATTATAGTAATATAGTTATATCATTTGGTGCACTTCATATTGGGAAATTAAATCAAGCGGTAACACCTGCTGCTCGCAGTGATGTAGTATTCTCATCCCTTGCTGATGGAAACATGAATTGTTACAGCCCTCTTGAAAGATAAACAGATCTTTATACTAAGCAATATGGCTCCTGGGACTGAATACCAAATAAATTAAAGTACAAATATGAAAGTATTTTTTCACAAGCATGTCTATTACAACATTCTTCTGGTAAAAAGAAGAAAAAAGTGAGCCCTCATCAATAGCAAAATGATTGAATAAATGTTTCTATATATATGGCATGATTTTCATACAATAATGTATCTATCATACATATTATCATACAGCATTTAAAAGAGGAAGGTAATTATCACATTAAATGAGGAAAATAAACATGAAATTGAGCAATGGGAAAAACATACTATTTTATAGCACAAATAACAAAAATGTCTGTGTTTAAGTACTTACCATATCTATCATCTACCATTTATCCATCTCTATCATATATCTAGGTATCTGTATTTCATTATATAAGCACCACAGAAGGCATGAAAATGTACACAGCAGGTCTTTAAAACTGGTTGGTCTGATAGAAAATAACGTATAGAAGAGAGGGTAAGAGAAATCATCATCATCAATAATAATAAAGGCTGCCTGATACACATGATGCTTTAAAAGATGTATGAATCAGCCATTAAAGTGTTAATAGTGATTATCTTAGAGTAGTAGGTGTTCAACTGAGTTTTACCTTCTTTAAATCTTTGGATAGTCTTTTACTTTTTGTAATGTGGGCATGTTTTCTCACAATCAGGAGAACTTTCAGCTCTTTAATTTATGGGGGGAAGAACAACAATCCTCTCTGAGAAAGGTCTAGGAACAAAAAGTTTATGTTAGCATGACAAATAGAAACTAAGAACCCTTAGAACCAGAAGTGCATAACCCTCTCTAAACCGTGAGTAGAGGAAAGGTACCAAGGTCCAAAGACTCACAGGACAGAGAACTAGGTATTTCCGGGAGAAAGGCATAAGATTGTTGAATTGTGATGCATTACACTTTACATAACTAGGATCTTCTTATCATTAACCATCACCTGTAACTAAACTCACCATGTAATTCATTCTGCAATAAACGAGGAGGCTGCTTATGTCTGCATGAGCCTGCCATTCAGTGGGAGTTTTCCTTCTCCGGCATTTTTTAATAATAATTAAATGTCTTGTGATGTAAACCAAGGTGAAACAGAAAAAAATCCCATGTCTCAAATCACAGAGCATAAGTCTATATTCTGACACGAAGATAAATAGTGTATTTTGAAGCTGTTAGGTACGCAGGTTCTCCTGCAGCATTTTACCTCTGAATTCGTCTCCTTCCACACTATAACTCACCCATTTCCTCCTTCTTCGTTTCTTTGTTTATTCTTCAACTAAATGTTGGAGAAAGGTAGGGAGGCTCTTTAATTTAATCTCCGGTCCAGATCTCTCCTCTGAGCCTCATAACTCTTCATCCAAAATTTTATATGACATATATTCTTGGGCACTTCAAAACCCAGTACACCAAAAACCCAACCGATGATCTCTCACTCCGCTATCCACTCCCAAATCTTGTCTTTCTCTAAGATTCCCAGTTCCAGTAAGTGGCATCACCAATTGCACAAGCTAGGAAACTAGCAGTTATCCTTGACACCATTTTTGTCACCCTCCCTCACATTCCACTAATTGACAGTTCTTTTGATTTCTTCACTTAAACAGCTCTCAAATTAATCTATTTCTACTCTGTCTGCCCTTCCAGCACCCCGTGTTAGCCCACATTGTCACATCATCATGCCTGAACTACTGTAATAGCCACCTAGCTGGTACCCTCTTTATTCTGGAACCTCTGCAATGTCAGTAATTTTTTCTTATACTTATAATAAAGATCCAAGTACTTCAGTGGCCTAAAGGACTGCACACATACTGGCCCTCAACTCTCTCTCTGGTCTCCACTTAGGATACTCTTTGATCCCTCTCTCAAAACTTCAGACACACATTTCTGTCTCTACTTCAGATGTGCTTTGCTGTCTCCTGCTTCAAGACCTCCTATGCCATTTTCCCCTTCCCTGGGAATACTTCCTAACCCCTCCCTCCACCCAAATACACAAAGGAGCTTCTGTTCACAACTCAGAACTCGGCTGAAATGAGACTTCTCTGTGCTTATGCCCTAGCACTTTTCATAGTTTGTATTCCTGTCTGGAATGATTACTCGGTTAACATTGTCACCCTCCCTCCTAGAAGCTGTAAGTTCTACAAAGGCAGAGTCTCTGTCCCTTTTAATCACCACTGTGTCCTCTATACCCCACACAGAGCTCAACACAAAGGTGGTACTCAGTACATACCTGCTGAATAAATAATATTGAAGTTCCTGAGCGAAGTTTTGTATCTTAACTACAGCTGTGTATTTCCCCACACCTAGGTTAGGGGCTTGCACTAAATAGGTGTCAGTCGCACATAATTAATGTCTCATCTTTAAAAAATTTAGCAAGAAATTATCATTTGCTTTATAAGCACTATATATTAACCTAATCATTTGTGTCCCTTTTAAAAGCTTCAAATGAATGAAATCAAATAAAGACTCTCATATATAAGGACTATAAATAACACATTTCAGTAGTAATACGTATTTTCTTCAAGATTAATTTAAATGTGAACTAATTTGTCCCTATAAAAATAAGTCAGTTTAGACTTAACATATTAATTTCAGAAGGCATCAGATCAAATTTACTAGGTTCATTAAGCATAGGGAATTAAATTTCAGAAATTGATATTTCTTACTAATAGATGCCAAGAGTAATATTTAGTAGCCTGTCAAATATGTGCATATTTATCATGTAAACTGACATTAGAGATCAGAATAAGTAAGTAGTTTTCTATAGCTTTTTTTGCAGACTAAGGGTTTATATTTAAAACTTTAATAAAACTGCGTATCACCTAAGCATGACCCCTCTCTAACTCCACCTATACAAAAACCTCAGACTATCACTGAATTGTTCTATTACCAGTCTTGATTCAAGCTATGTCTTGACTGAGTGGATTGCGAATAGATGGTATTACTTACCAGGAAGCTACAAATGTTTTTATAAGATTGGTTTCTCACATAAGA